TCCTCGATTACATGCAAATGGAGCAGGTAATTAAGAGCGAATTAGAAATTATCTTATATAATTAGATTGACTAAATAATAAACAAATTCTATCTGCTACAAATTTAGAAGAAAAACTAAAAACCCAAGTATGATAAATGATTTCTTATAATGAGATTTTTTCAAATAAATATTTCTGTTGTCTTTAGATAATTCTTCATTTTAAATATCCTATATCCATTAAAAGTTGTTATTGTGCCTACAGGGCATACTAGTACGTGGTCGCGCTTAATTGCGATATTATAGGAAAATATTTAAATTTGAGATTGTGTGGCGATTGAATGACTCCCCTCAGTCTCAGTTTTTAATTTTTTTTTCTATTATCACATATTGTTTCAGGATATTATCGCGCCTCATTAAATTAGATTTCGTTTTCAAACACTGCTTACCTCGTGTACTTGACTTGAAAAGCATTACACAAGCAAAATATCACATTTTCTGTTTTACTTCGTCATGGAAAGCAGCGATATTGCCCTTTGACTATAAAATCATCATTCTTTCATACCATTTAATTGTGAATATGCTCCACTCCACCAAGGGCAATTCAACATAATATTAGTTCATTAAAAATATTTCTGTGAAGAGCCAGTATCCTACTTTATGTTTGCTAGCCTCCAGGTTGACAGCTGCTGTTCAGCGCAGCGCTAGTGCAACTTGAACCCAAAAAGCTAATGATGTCACTGCAAACTTTGTTACGGCCTCGAAACATGGCCAACTAAAGTGGACATTGTTCTTCAGTTTGCCTGTTTTCTCACCCCTAGAAATGTCGAGCAAGAAATGTGTTTATCTTATAAACGAAATGCAAATATAATTTAGGCTGCCGAAGAGGATGCCAGTGGAAAATTTTACACTGGTAAGATAAATCGATGATCAAATACCAAAAATCTGTGTACAGCAAGATAAAAATTAAATTTTATGATGATTAAAATTCACTTTGATCATTCGGTCAACAGTCCATGTTGATCAGTGTCTATTGCACACATTTCTTTAATGTTTTTCATACTTGAATGAATACAATGAACATAAAGTATCTAACTCGGGTGTGTTGTACCAAAATTTTCAGGTTTTTCTATAGCTCAATTAGAATGTGAGTAAGTTGTTCGATAGGACTGAAAATTATTACAAACAACTTCAAACGCATTACTGAAAATAATTTCTTTACGTGAAATTTTCAAGACTATATGATTCTTGATGCAAAGAGTCTTTTTAAATTAAGAATTTTACCTTGTAAACTCTTCTAATTATCAAAGGACCGATTTTTGTGTCGCATTATCCGTAACCAAAAGAAAATAACGTAAAACCATTTATCCTTAAATCTTCTGGTATATGATATTCCCACTGATGTAAAATTTTCATGTCAGCGCACTTAGGAATTATTTGGGAAGTACTTTAAATATCTAAGAAATTCCTAAAAATTTAACACCTGCTTGAAAAAATGATGATTGAAAGTACCAGCACTAGTAATATTGAATAAATGCTGATGTATTTAATAATGCTATTCCTTAATAATTCTAATAATTATTACTAATTTATAATGATAACTAATTACTGAATAACTAATACCAATGCAATAAAACTATGATTTAATAATAGTAATAATTGGTGCTCCAATGTAATCTCTTTGCTGTTGTATATTTGTTTCAAGACAAATTAAAAATTTTAATTAGATCTTCAGTTGCTAATGTTGAGCCTTTCATGATCCTATTAATGCGTGTGCTTATATTCATCATTCACATAACATCGATTTTATTTGCGACCATCTCGACTCATTATTTTGATTTAAATTTCTCGACGTTGTTCCATACTTATTCAAATTAAAAATTGTTCGCAATTCACCTGGCAATTTTAAAAGAGTTAAATTCTACAGATTTTACGTCAGAAATCACGTGTCTACTGGACATTTCGCCTGGAATAAAACTCTTGAAATGCTCATAAGACAAACGAGGTCTCAGCAGCTGGTAGCTTATCAGCGATCTCAAAAAGAGCAAAGAAAATTGCAGAGTTTTGCGGGACCATGAAAGGCAGCGCGTAGAGGACAGTCTGACGTACAAGCACTTCATCAAGCGCGACGTTCGATTTAATCTGCACTATCACACTTTTCTAACTTACCTGCGTGCTCCTGATTGAACTTTTACAATTGCAATGATCAATGAGAAATCGAATTTAAGCTGCACAAAGTGTAACAGTAACTCGCACTCTCTCTTGCAGTAACGCTAACTTTCACGTGCAGTAACGCTAACTTTCACGTGCAGTAACTCTCACTTTCCACTTGCAGTAACGCTAATTTTCATGTGCAGTAACGCTAACTTTCACGTGCAGTAACTCTCACTTTCCACTTGCAGTATCGTTAATCCACATGCAGTAACGCTAACTTTCACGTGCAGTAACGCGTACTGTATACTGTATAGAAACGAATAGCCACTAAGCGCTCCATTTTGCATTGTTTCATCTCGCAGCATTGCACAGGAAAATGATTGCTAAAATAAGAATGTCCTTACGCTAAACTGTCGTCTTCACAAAGTTTAAACTCTTCTTTTAATCCGGTATTGTTTTCTTGTCCTGCATCTAAAATCAAATTGAGATATTTTTGTGTATCTTAGGCTATAACCTCTCAGCAAGATTTCACCTCAATTTTAACTATAAAATTATGACTTTCTACTTCAGAATAATCACGGAAGAATACATTGATTTTAAAATGACTTTAATATTATAATTAATTTTCCTTCTTCGTCATAACAGCGACACTCACGCTAGACTGCGTCGGAATAATTTCCCGCGATTTTTGCCCATTTTTGAGCGAAAGGTCGCCACGCTAGAAACAATTACGTTTCTCCTATTTTGCCCACACGGATTCGAAACCATTTTCCAGACCAGTGATGGAGAAAACTGTAAAAACTTCCTAAAAACTAAAATCAGAACATCGCTCCATTGTTGATAACGTAAGCTAGCAACACATGGATAATATAACATATTTTTTATCAGATAGTTTTATATCGTCTGGATTATTTTCCATCTTGCTCTCCTATTACCGCATAGCTTCTGTATGTGTAAGATATCGTTTTTTTTTCTTTAAAAATAACACTCTAGCACGTATGTTAGTGATCCTCACTAATTTCCACTGAAATTATAAATCGAAATTTATAGATAAAATTGAACAATGAAAATACTAACTCTAATTACAGCTTTATTAATGATCAAATAAATTTCTTTCATACATTTTACATACCTAGAATTTCTTAAGTGGATTAATGCATTAAAAGAACAAAGCGATACAAACCTGCGCAGTAGTCAATTATTTCTGTAACGTTAGGAATAATAAATTAACAGTGGAATTCTAATTCAAGGTTAACTCATGAGCATAATCTATGAGATTCGTATCGTTCCAATAATATGTTCGTTGATTCCGACGACATTCTGCACCGAAACAAAAGGAAGTGGTGAAATCAGAAAAATGCTTAACTCTTTAATGAGTTCTCTTTATCTCTTTACGCTAAACTCATTAGTGAGTTCCCATTAGTTCTTAGTGCAAAACCCATTAGTGTGTTCTTAAACCTCGGTTGCCTCCTCACACGCTTGCCTTATATCGATAATTTATTTCCGGAGCGATAATTGCATATGCATTTTTTGGCTCCTTTGCCTGAGTGGTGAAAGAATTTATTCTGGGTATATCCTTTAAAAAAAATAAGAATAAATATAGATGTTCTTTCACACGGGCAGTAAAATCTATTACTCAATGCAGTGCGCTACATGCAAGTTAAAAAGGCCTCTAAATGAATAGTTTTAATTTGGATCAGAATATAATATTAATCGGATCAGAACCAAAACGTGCTGCCAGTGAATTTTAAAATTCCCAGTCTCAGGAGCGGGTTAATTGAAAAGTCTTAGATAATTTTCTGCGTATTTATTTAGCGAGATTCGGTAATAAGCTCGACAAATAGACGGCAATTATCGCATAGAATTAACATAATAATAGGGTTGTCTAGAAAAAAATTTGTTGAATTGCAGTTTAAACTTGGAAAATATCACTAAAATTTGTAAATATTCATAATGAAAAAAATTAACCAAGCGTGGAAAATGTCGAAGAAAAAATGGTCAACGAAACTGATAAGCGCAGCCAGGCTGGTACATAATGAACTAGCAATCAAGTTTTTCGGGTCGCAAAAAAAATATACCATTAACCGTGACACTGATGGTCGTAACTGTGATGTGTATGAAGCTCTACTAAGATCGTAATATTTCATCACTCACAGATGAATTTGGAAGACTTTGCTTGTACACGAATGAAAATTTTGGCTGATGGACTTCCGAGATCGCCTTCACTTTTTTAAGACTTCTTCAACTTTTAACGTTTCTCTTAACGAGAAAATATTTTCGATTTGATCTGATCAATTGTGATCCAAACTCCGAATGGAACGTATTCTTCAAGAAATTAATTGAGCTCAACGTTGTTTTTGACTCCATGCCTCCTGTTAGCCAAAGTGTTCGCTGTTTTCGCGTCCGCAAAACAGGGGATTGTTTTCACTCCCCAGATCGATGGTTGACATACATTGAAAAAAAAACATCTCTTCCATTCGCAGAATCAACGCTCTTGACAACTTCTTACGACGGCATTAATGTTTAAATTCTTTGCTCACGTGTTAAAAGATTTCATTTTATCTGTAAAAGGTTGGAATATTCTAACACTAATTACCGTGGATATAATTCCTCGTCGTTTTACATTTAACCTTGTTTTGGCGATGTTTGAATAAAACTACTATCAATAGTCATGGAGGTAAAGAGTTAAATAGGAAAATTGTTCACGTTCTACTATCGACAGTAACGTTTTTCGTGCTGGACTTTTTTTAGCCAACTTATCATTATCTAGCAAATTGAAAAATTATTTCAATGACATTCGGCTTATCAATAATAAAATAAGCCAAATTAATGTTAATATATTCACGATGGAAATACCTTCTTTTTCAGATCGACGGCTACCTTTACAACAAAGGCCAGAGCGTGATCTTCAGAGTAGACCCTGCGATGACGACGCACGTGAACATCACAGGCGGTCCGCTGGTCTACAAATATCGCTTTGAGGAACTGTATGTCCACTTCGGAGAGCACGACAACGTTGGCTCCGAGCATCAGATCAATGGAAACGCATTTCCTGCTGAGGTTGGTTACTTAGATAACACTGCCTGTAGTAAATAAAAATATAGCTCAGTACTCACTGCAGTGAGTGACAGAGAGCGCATTTTCTCGTCGACGAATAATGTGAAGTCACGGACTGACAGACAGACAAACGGACAGATGGACGGACGGACATGGCGAGCACAATAGTGCATTTTTTCCATAAATGAGAAAATGCGCTAAAAACTCATTTATCTGCCTGGAGCTATACATGCACTTCTGATAACACGGCAGACGGTTTCTCGGCATTACGAGTCGAGGTTCCAAAACTCGCTAGCTACTCGTTATTAGAAGCATAAATCTTCAACAAGTAAAATTTGACCGACCATGTATATAAATTTTCAGTAAAATTTCGTTTCGGTACACGATGGGTTTTTCGCAACATAACAAATAGACTCGATGAATTTTGAAGATGAAACAAGAAATTTTCTGAACTCAATCCCATATTATTAAGGCAGGTAAAAATCGTGCATGTCACGATGCCCGTCCGTTCAACATGAAGCGCTTATATAAATTATGTTACATTTCAAGCTACGCTTGATTTTTTTTAGTAATTCTCAACTAGATTTTACAGATACCGTCTCTACACTAACATCTTATTCGTTCCAATAAATTTTAGCAAAAATGTGTCTGTATAACCTTATTTACGATCTTATAATCAAGTTTTCCATGAAGTAAATAATATGCACTGCAAGAAACTTTATAACTCTCCCGACTTGACCCTCGTAGGGAAGTCCTAAAATTGTTGAAAGGTTTTAACCTTTAAGTTATAGCTCGAGACATTTATAGAAGAGGACAGATTCCATGTTCGTTCTTCACCTCTTTAAAGCTTTTCTGGCCATTATTAGATCATATTTTCAAGCATAATTTCAAGCATTATTTTCTAGCATTATTTTCCAGCAGTATTTTCTAGCATTATTTTCCAGCATTATTTTCTAGCATTATTTTCTAGCATTATTTTCTAGCACTGTTTTGTACCATTATTTTCTATCAGTATTTTCAAGCATCATTTTCTAGCATTATTTTCTATCATTATTTTCTATCATTATTTTCCAGCATTATTTTCTAGCAATATTTTCTAGCATTATTTTCTAGCATTATTTTCTATCATTATTCTCTACCATTATTTTTTACCAGTATTTTCTAGCATTATTTTCTAGCATTACCTCTACACTTGAGTCTATGACCTCGTATCCGATTCAGGGAAGTTACGAACCAGTGAAGTCAGTGAAGTCAGTGAAGTCAACCTAGTCTCGCGAAGTGCGTTCTATTTTTTAGTAATGACACGAGGAGCTGTCACGGGTCCCGGGACTCGACACAATTTTCGTGTCAGTGTGCCAGAAAGAGCTGAGGGGACCGACAGATTGCCGTCACAGCTTCTGACCTGAGAAAAACGACCTCCTAAAAAACGGCGAAAAATTGCAGTCTCCTCGTTCACGGCCCATGGCTGGCGCGCGTTCACAGACTTTCCTGCACGACAATAATTGATGGCTATAGAGATCACAGAAATTATCTTTTTTTTCATGAAGGTTATTGCCCAAATTTAGCAAAATTACGCACTCTTAGCTCGAGCGGGAACTTGGAAAACAATTATCTAAATTCAGTTAAACTTTATTATTTTCACGGGCATGGCTTTATTTTTCTGAATGCCTTGACTTGAGATTATAAAGAAATCTCACACAAAATATCGTAACATTTCTAGAAAAAGATTCCCACACTGTTCGCTTGCTAATATCTTGAATTTTTTTTATATTTCTGGAGCAAATTGTTTCTTTCCGGAAGACGGTCTTTGTAATATTAATAATCTGCCACGAGCACAAGAGCTGACTATTAATTATGTTTATATAACTACTTACTAAACACTGCAGTACAACATATCCCACATATTATTGTATATACAATATTACAAAGGCACATCTTGGACATTTTATTTTATTTTTAAAAAAATCCACAGCGACTTAGCGGTTTTCTCCATGCCCAAATAACCACTAACAATAACGCAAGCCTAAATTAATGTCAGAATCTTTTTGTCCACAAATAGAACCCGGTCTTTGGCCCATTCTTGCACAAGCCCAATTAACGAAAAAATTACCGAGAATTTTAATGTTCCATTATTTCAATTTCCTCCAAATTAGAGCGATTGTGTAATCAAGAAATGAATCTCTATTCGTCCGGTGAACACGCAAGCCAAGTGTCCACTCTTAATTAAAATTTGATTCGCTAGTCAAATCATCGCCCAGTTTCTTCTATATTAAATATAAAATGTAAAATGCAGACATTTCTAAGTTCTACGTATTTATTGGCTACTCCTTTAATTTATACGTGCTCGCTCCCAAGAACTGCTTGATCTAATTGATGAATAAATTGCATTTAGGAATAATTGATTGAGATTAGAAAGCAGGATAAGAGTTTTATCACAAAAGCGTTTCACAAATTGGCTTTGTCACCGTAAAAAGTTGTTACCCGCTTATTAAATTTAAAGTCTTAATGCTGAAAAGTTAATCTCAATATCATAGCCAATTAACTCCATTTATTTTGAGAGCAATGCATCAGCAGGGAAATATGCAAGAGAGTCGTCTTACTCAATCGAGTTGCGATAAAAGGAGAGTTGTTCAATTGAGTTGAAAGTGAAATTTTAATACAATTTCAGCAAGCTGTTGACTGCTGAAAAACTGTAACCCATTAATCAAACGACTGAATTACAATTGGATTCAAACAATCAAAAAATTCTTAATGAATTGAATTTTATTTATTTGCATTTTTTTTAGAAAAATTCATTGATTATCGTCATTAAATTTCTTCTGATTATTGGGTGTTTTTACCATACAATTACGTACTTGAATGATTTTCATATATACCAAAAGTACCTAATAAAGAATAAATTTTCCGTTGAAATATTTGTGAAATTTTTTGCTTAGATGCCCATGATTTCTGCAGTGTAGTCGATCTTCTATGCTAAAATATTATCGGTATAAACTACAGCAATATTTTCACCCCGCTCGATGCAATGCGATGGCTCTCATCCACTGAAATATTCGCACTATGTGTGCTACGCTGGAATATGAGGGAGCGTTTACTCATAGTCTAAAACAAAAATATTGTGCTTGTTGATATATATGAATTTCTTCTTATAGGTAAATGCACAAATAATAATTCATAAACGAATACTGTAAATATTTATACTTCGTATAGGTCGTAAGAAATATTGACAAATTAATATTGACAGCAGGGTAACATGGGGCAGCGAGCCCACTGCGGGTCACGGGACCAAGGGTGGGCGCCTTGCCCCAAGCCCATGGGCCCATTGCCCCAGGGGTGGGGCAATGGGCCCATTTTGACACTTTTTACAAAATAGTGTTTCACTTAAAATTGAATAACTCTATAGGCGTCTAATTCACATCATACATTCCTCATTAGTTGCACCTTTAAACAAAACAAAAAACCACTTCGTATCAATTAAAATTTCATCAAAAATTTAGTTTAAAAAAAGTGGGGGGCGCGCTGCCCCACGTTACCCTACTTGAAAATTAAAAGATTTATTTTTCCATTATATTGAAGTCCCAAATACTGTGCTCAAGATGCAGCTTTTCATACAAAATAAATTATTTTCTGGAAGCTGATTTAGGAATTCTATTTTTCAACTATGAATATCAGTGAAGAAAACACAAACGAACAATTGAGAATAATACAAAGAATTAAGAATTTATTGAAATCAATTCACACTTATCCGAGACATCTTTACAAATCAACTGTATACGTTACTGTATAATTTCAGGTGGATCTCTCCCACTGTCATAATTCTTCAGAATATTTACACTGAACGCTCAATATTAATATATAAATTATTCAATCTTTCATTTACAATATTTTTCCAGTGATATTAGTGCCGTGGCGAAAATTAGTAACCATGAATGCAGCTTTCTTATCCGCCGAACAACTTGATTTGATTTTAGATACATTATAGTATCATATAGCATTTTGGCTATCAAATTCCCGAATTTCAACTATTTCGTCTGTCCATTCAAATAACTTTCTGACACGGTATGAAAATAACAGCAAATTCCTAAAATGAAATTATTCAATCGTTACACCATTCTCACGAAATCGTTACACCATTTCTTTTGTCCATAATATTTTATGGACAAAAATTAAGTGTTCCTCAAAATAATTATATATCATTTGGCGCTGAGCAGCTACAGCTGTACGGGTTCAACGCTGATCTCTACCCCAACATGAGTGAAGCGCAGCAGAACAGCAACGGCATCGTCGGAGTCAGCGTCATGATTCAGGTCTGCATTAAAAGATGTTTTAATTTTTCACTGCTTACTACACGAAACATTCATTTCTTATCATCATATAGGTGTACAGTTTCTGGATTCAATAAAGTTTAGCACATTATTGACTATTGTTTTTTCACTTACGTTCCTTTCTCATTCAAGTCGAAATTCATTAATTTGTCATCTTCATTCAAGTTTATTTGTTTTTATTTGTCATCTGCAACAGGAGCCTATTTGATCCTATGGATTTCAAATACTTAGAATACTTCGAAGGATATTCTCTATAACTCGAGCAATTAATTTAACTGCCCTATAATCATCTAGATTAAGTGCATTATGAATTAGTACATAAGCCTCTTAAAAATTACTCACCTATATTTTCTAAATAACTTAAACCATTTTACGCTGCTTATCCGATCTATTTTAGTCTTTACGATATTTCGGGCCACTACAACATTACTGCTCTGTTTCTAATTCCTGTCTTTCCACGATTTCATTTCGGGTCATTGCGTTTTCATTTCTGCTTCGTGCATCCTATTTAAACTTCTGACCCTTTTATCACTGCGTTATTCCTGAGACCGGCAATTTTTCCGTCAGATCGGACAGTCCGGCAACGACGAGTTCCGAATCCTGTCCTCGGGCTTCAACAAGATCGTGTACAGAGGAGACCGCAGCGCCGTGAAGCACATCTCGCTGGCCGGTCTGCTGCCGCTAACCCAGCATTACATGACATACGACGGCTCTACCACACACCCTGGTTGCTGGGAGACAACCACGTGGTTGCTCATGAACAAACCTATTTATATCACCAAGCAGGAGGTGAGTTATTTACCTTTAGTCATTATCCGATGCCACCTACATTAATGCAGCCGAACTGAAAACTAGCTGGGTGCTCATTTTATTTGTTGAACATTAAAATAAGCTACTTTTATTTCACCAAACATCATACGATGGACGTGTGCGTTTTCAATAAAAGAAATATATACGAATCATCAAACAGAAATTGGAGGTGGATTGTTCATAAATTTCTCAATCAATTTGTCCAGGCCACCGACAAAAAAATGGTGTCTAATTCTTGATGCATGGAATACACCTGTTCTGGACACTTTATTTGCACGAGATGAAACCTCCTCTGTTCAGTACAATAAGTTTACTGTTTTTTTAATATCTATCATATCAGGGATTTATTCCTAAATTAAATAAGAGATACGGACGGATGTTTTATAAATCCGAACTTAATAAATTGCAATTTTTAGGTGGTCGCAATTCCGCTTTTCTGACATTTAATCGTATTACAACTTGTTAGGGGCATATAAACATTTTAAAGTATTAGATCATTACATAACTAACGCGACGCATTACATGCATTCGAGAACGGCAACTTTGCCTTGTGATGTATCGAGTCCTCATGAATAAATCTTGTACAAGGTCTGACATTACACCACGATAGTTTCAGTAGTACAATTATTGAAGCCAAATCCTAATTAATAATCTTTTAATGCGTCGATTATCGATAATCTTTTAATGCCTTATGCTTTTTAATGCCTTTTTTAAGCCTCGGTAGTTAATGGCGAACTATATACATTATTCATATTGATAGCCAACATTTTCTTCTGCCAGTTACTCGCCCTACGGCAGCTCTACCAAGGCGACAGAACTCTGCCTAAAACCAAGATGGCGAACAACTTTCGGCCCGTGAAGGCTCTGCACCACCGAACGGTGCGCACTAACATCGACTTCACTACAGACAACAGGCAAAAAGATTGTCCTTCCATGCACCGCGAAATGTTTTATGCAGGTAATGTTAACAGATTAATCGTTTTAAATTTATTTGGGCTGAATCTTCATTGTTGTAAATTAAAAAGAATTTCAGTTAGAGTAAAAAAATATCAGTTTTAGTAAAAAATATCGGTTTGGGTAGTAAAAAATATCAGTTTGAAGCAAGTTTGGATGAATTTGATCGTGTTATCTACAAATAATATGATTTAAATATAATTATAACATGGATTCATATAATGCAAGAATTTCTCTACTAGTTCGTTAAAAACTTAATTCAAGTTAACTTTTGGCACTGCATGAAATATTTTGAATGATTATATGAAGAACAACAAATGTTTCAAAGCATCATTTATACCATGCATTAGAGAGCAAACTTTTGATGGATACCTATAATTTATTCAAACAAAACTTAATGACTTGGCAGATACATTTTTGTATGTTAAAGCAAGTATTGCCGCCTTGTAATATCATCGTCGGGATTTTAATATTATTTTAATAACAATAGCGACGCTATTGTAGTACACAACTGTGGTTATTGCACTCGAGAACAATCCTGAACGTATTTTCGAAAAGTTATTTGTTACTTTTCGAATGCATCAAACGTATTGTTTTCAACGCATTATTAGGGTGAAAATTTTACAGAAAAATTGTTTTTCTAAATTTGGAATGCTTTGTAGAAAACTTTGGCCGCGTTCGTTGTCAGGCGCACAATGATTTCTGCATATCATAGTTTATTCCAGAGACAAATAATATAATTGAGGGAAAATATTATCATATGATCTATACGAATTTTAGAGAATTAAGCGAAAATATGCACAGGAAAATAACATTTAAAATATAACACATTGAACTGACAGCACAAGAATTAAGCGAAAATATGCACAGGAAAATAACATTTAAAATATAACACAGTGAACTGACCGCACAGAAAAAACTACCGCGAAACTCAAAACACACAGATTCCTTTCATAATATCATTTTAGTGTAAAGCGATTTGCCATGAGTAACGATATTATCTCAGTCATTATCCTATGACTTTTCGGGAAACATAAAAACGGACAGTTTGCTCTGCATTCTCATTGATTACCCTTCATACCTAAGGCCTCGTGATAGCCTTCAATTCTCACCGTAATTACCCCGACAACGATGGGATTCAGGGCCAGAGCTGGCACGATTACGAAGCTTCGCGAGCAAATAAAATAATTTTCGTAAATCTGGAGGGCAGTCTCAGTGGACGTCCTAATAGCCTCATGATAGTAAGAAGACAGATGATGGGTATTAGGTTTTCTTCCTGCCCATGACAGATGAAGGGAATCAGATAGCTTTGCCGGGATGATCTGCCTTGAAGAGGTACGCGCAAATGGCACTGCTGCTTCTTCTTGACAAATGGCCTCCTGGGATCCCACCCAAAACGCCCCCGAACAACGCACAATAATTCTAGGTCATAATGTAGCCTAATTGCGCCCTTCCGCTGCTATAACCTTCACCACAACTCATGGTGCTCAAATTCTTGGCTAAAATGATGACCAATGAAAGACTTTTTTGATGAAAAATGTTCCAGGATAAAACTGGTTTGATAGAAAAATTACCACCAAAGAAAATCAAAGCGGAATTTTTAGGAACTTTCTGATATATAGACCACATTCTGGCCCCAATTTGAGCCGTTTCATATCTAGGATGATGTAGTGATTTTAAAATATAAAATTTAATTTATCATAATAATTAGTAGAGACTCTGTTGTTGGTAAACTGAATTCATGAAAACTGCTTCTTTGCAATTAATTCTTGCCAGATTTTTATGTTACGAAGTTAAAATAATTAATTTTAGTGAGCGTAAAGCCTGTACATGCACCGAGGTGATGAACTTGTACTCATCGGTTGAGTGAACCTTCGCTCGGTCTTCTTATAAGGAACACCGTCGTCAAAACTTGTACACTGTCATTTTTAACGTAAGCAAAGTACGTACAAATTGTCTCACTTTAGCGGCCCATAACTTCTTCTTAAACAAGCGGCTGTTTAGTTCAAGAACTGAGACGGATTACCAAAGTTTCTTAGCCAAAGTGCGCTCTCAGAATGCGTCCACTTGACGCTTTACGCAAGAATTTTAGATCCGTCAATCAGGATTTCAACGAAATTTTCATAAAACCACGAATCTTATAAAAAAAAACACAATATCAATTTGGAAAGATAAAGTTGTAGAGAGTGATTGAGAGGAATTTCATTGCATTAAATGCCCATTTATAAGCAATCGTATCGAAAATCATCTTTTGCGTTGTTGAGGACCAATTTCCTATGTCTTTGTTAAATTGAAAATGTCCACCAATTTCTTCACATATTTTATTCGGCAATGGCGAGAGGTTTATGTTCTCAGACAACAATATTTATTACAAATATTGTATACCGATTATAATATCTTAATATAACAGCTATAATACTACGGTGACAGCTTTAGCAGTTGTAATAATGCGGTTACTGCTCCAGCAGCTATATTATGGTGACTACTCTAGCAGCTCTAGTAATACGATTACTGCTATAGCAGCTGTAACAATACGGTTACTGCTCCAGCAGCTATAAAACGCTGACTGTTCTAGCAGCTATAATAAAACGCTGACTGTTCTGGCAGCTGTAATGTCTTTTGAATTAAATTTCTATTTAGAATTCCACAAAACTGCATATCACTTGCTCATGATTCTAATTCTAAAGAAAAATATAAAAACCGCACAACTAAAGCCGCCGCATGATTTCATAAACATTATTATGGCCGGCTATAATATCACGATTCTTTGATTCCAACCCAAGTCGAAAAAGCTTGTAAGTTGCTGATCTTATTATGAGTCCTTGCAATCCCTTCGTTATCGGAGCAGAAACTTCAGCACTTAAGACGGCAGGACTGAGCCCCAAACTCGTTTTTATTATTTCTCCAATTTTCAAAACATAATTGGAAGGGCCACTAGCGTGGATGTGAGTCTCCCCAAACTATTGGTATTCAGAAGAGCGCGTATACAAGCCTGTCGATGGCCGACTCGAAACAAAACGCTGCCTCTTTGCCGCCTAAACTTTAGCCTCGCCCTCCTCGAAAAATTGCTCTTTGTGATTAAACTTTGCGTGCCTTTGTCCAAGTTTGCCGACAAACATAATTGACAAAGAATCCTTCGTATTTCGTTTTATTTCAACCTGATGGAAGTCCACACATGATTTCCGTCTAGCTTCGTCAGGCACAAGAAAATTCATTACTCATCATCAAATTTTTTATAAGTTTTCTGGTTCATGTTGCCACCTAAGTTTTCAGTTAATTATTAAATATTACCAACATGTTTTCAATTATTAATCGATATTCACTCTTTTCTTTAACTGAGTGCTAGTATTGCGTACGCAAACCTTTATTTGCGTTAATTTTACAAGAATAACGAGGTTAATCAAATTAGGTAACACTGGAACCTGAGCTAATAATTTTCATTAATGACAGTAATTAATTGTTTTGTACTGATGTTTTGTTACTCATCCTTCAACCTAAATTAATAAATTCGTCCAGATTGCTTCAAGCAAATAAGTTGCTTCATTCTTTTTGTATTATAATAAAAATAAGTCATATAATAATAATTTTTAATGGCTTTAACTCAGTGCATTTATGAGTAACATGTTATCTGTTTCAGCTCGCAAATGGAAGTTATAGTGGTGGACCGAAGCACTGGAGTCGGGAATCATACAGAGCAGTGGCCTGACTCAGTGACTCAATTGTGAGCTTGCGTACGTTTCAGTCGACTCAGTGACTCAAGTGGAAATTAAGCAAGAACATCAAATAGGAAAATTACTCTGTTCGAAGATGGAATTTTTTGTCGTCTGACACACTAAACCTCGTTACGGTGTGACTCAGATGCTCACTATGGAGTGAGTGTATTGACACAACGGCAAGTAAATCATAGATACAAACATGTGACAATTTTATAAGTACCTAGAGTGAGACAAATGGGAGTTGACACACACATTGTTTACAGAGCTTGATGATGGCCTGTAAAAACATATTGTAAATCAATGACGTCCAGAGATGGTCGGTCGAAGGCCGACGAAAGCCTGCAGATAAAATGCAGATCATTTTCGACAATATTTTGAGTTAAGATTTAGCAATGCTTTTCTACCGCAAATTTATTCGACAGGCTTTGTAGAAATAGTAGTTCTTAGTACGCAATATTAATAATAGTGCATAATTTGTTGATGTTGACATGTAATTTATAAATAAAATGGTGTACATTGTTCTTTATTAATACAAGTATATTGTTTCTAGAAACATATGCCTTGGCAACCAGTCATTATACCAGCAACAACTGCGTCGATGTGAGTGCTATAAAATTCACCCATAAATAATTTGTGTTAAAATTTATTACCTACAATTTAATGCCAAGCAGGGTTCAATGACATGATATTAATTTATGCATTAAGGCGTCTATAGTAAAATAAGCAACACACTCTCACTACATTTGGATGTTAAATTAAACTCTTGTGAAATATTTTCCCAAAAACAATAAATGAAAAGTCAGTGCATGATAAGCCATTTAGTTTATATTTCACGTAATTTTCGCTTGCGAGCAGAAATTCCAACTGAAAATATTGAACAAATTGTTCATGAATATCGACGTTAGGCTTCCGATTACATCGCAAATTTTTTAATATCTTATGACGGGAAAACAATATAATAAAGATACGACGAAACTGATAAATCCCCTTACTGCTGAAACACCGTCCTTCTTCCTAACTTGTACATAATAACTGTAAAATATGATAAGTGATTCATTTCCTCCTAATTTCCAAAACTGTGTAATAATTGCTGCGATGATGTGAAAAGTTTAAGGATTTATTACACGCTAATATAAAGGTAAACATTTACGGCAAATAATCGCCATTACCAATTAATTTACAATAATTTTTCAGCTACTTTAAACCGAGTTTCAACCTAATATTATTTTATGGTAAACACTACTGATTAAAAGACATTAGATAACAGTGAGCTAAAAAGAGAGACGAGAATAAACAATATTAATTAAACTATTTAAATATTAATTTATTTATTTATAAAATTTAGAAATTATCCGTGATAAAGGGATATTGTAACATGTGATGAGAATATTGTATTGTAATATTCTGGATAAAAATGATGATTTTTGCCATGAACAGCGAGCAGTACTAGACATCAGTGAACAATTTTCCGTGGCTAGTAAACCATTTGGAAATCTAGGAATTTTGTCTGAGAATATTGTAGCTACGAAATTGAGTTAATGGTAAAAGATTAACTGTGTATTGGTGGAATAAAATAAATTTTTTAATTGTGGTTTAATCCACAGTTCTGGTTTAAAATAATTTAGGCTAAAAAAAGTTAGGCTAAATTTTAACGTGCGTAAATGCTTAAATTTTAATGTGCTCGGAATCGTATTCTACTCTTCTACTGTGCATGAATTTTGTTGACAAACCTTTCTGGCGAATTGTTGAATACTAACAAAGATTCCAAAATTGTCTACAGTTGTCCACTCTATATGCTATTTTTAATATAATAAAAAACTGATGACTGCTGATTTGAATCACTTTGTAAATAGTTTGTATATATTGTACATGTTCTTAATTGAATAATAGAATAATTCCTGTAGTGAAGCTTAAAAATTCTTGCCACCGAATAATGCTGTAATAAGAGCTCCATTAACTCTTAGATTTATGTAATTCCAATAATTGTCACTGTAAACGTCAGCCATCCAATTATTTTGAGTATTACAATTAGGATGAAATGTAAAATTTATATAAATTTGGCTGCAAATTACTATTTTGGAATCCAAAAAAATTTCATCTCAAAAATTTTTTGCTTGTATGTGAAAATTCAAAAAAATTGTCAAATATCTGAGTGGAAAAAAAATTTTAAACTCCTCACGTAGACGCGATTTATTATCGCGTCCTGTAAGTCATGTTGAACATTGCTGAGAAGATGACTTATTTTATTTTAATATCGATTCAACTGTTCTCTTGGTTTCATCATTTTTCTAACAATAACAAATAACATTTCGATATCACAAATTCGATAACAATTATTTAACAATTGAGAATGAAATAAATAATGTTCCTATCTTCGTCCGTGAATAAAATTATTTACTCATAACGAAAAAAAAAATATTTAAAAAGTACTTTCCCATGATACATGCAATAATTTATTGATATTCATCAACTATAAATATTTGCAGAACCTCCTAAAGGTATAAATCACTGGATTTACGTAATGTAAATGTTCTTTTGGGAATTTTCTTAAATTTAACTTTTTTTTATTTATGTAAAAAAAAGTTTATTCGGGAAAACACTCACACTGTTATTGTAGATTATTTCCAGATTTATTTTGCTAATGACTCCATTGCATTGTTAACAAGCGGAGTAATAGCGAAATCTTTTGTTAAGTGATTATCAAAACACCATTTTTTTATAACAATAATTTTTTAATAGAATTCTCTTCAAACGAAACGGAAAATCTAATGACTTTCTATCTCTGTTTAGAACTTGATTAAAACATTATTAATAGTCTTCATTGCACAATAAATTTTTTCTTATACATTTTCATAAATTTTCACTTATGAAATTAAATCATCTTTAAATATAATATCATGCATTACGAATAACTAACGTAGGTATCGGTTTTTCGTTAATAGTTACTCTAAAAAATGTTTAACGTTCCGACGCATAATTCAAATCTTGATCATGAGCAATTCTCTCATCGCATAGGCAAAGGATGTTCGAGAAAAAAAATTTAAATAGCTTTATTGAGTTTTTGTACTTTTAACCTATGAGAGTTTCACGGAAAATCATGTAATTAGTGATGTATTACAATGGTGACTTCTGCAATGTACGATGCGATAATCTCGGTAGAACAAGTCCATGATAATTGTGATATGGTTGCTGTAGATTAATTCTACCTGTTTCGTTAATAAAGCGAATCCTTCGTGTGCATTCTCACTAACCAAAAAACCCCTAGGAATTATTATTTTATTTGCTTGTGAGATCATCCAATAGAAGCGCATTCGACAGACTATGAATAGTTGTTATAATAACATTCAGATTCGGAACTCAAAATTTGATTGGTCTTATTATTGGTATCATTTCTGAATAATGTTATAACTCATTCTCCTTGAAATATTGATGTTATTCGACAATTTAGGTGGAAACAAACATAATTATTTTAAATAACATTCATAAAATGTAAAACTTTTTATGACAATCTGGGGCCGAACATCCTGGCTCATTCTGAGCGATCAGCGAATGTTGAACCATTTCAACAACTGGCAGCCGAATCAACAAAAAATCTTAAAATAATTTCGACAAATTTCGTTTTTTACACTTTCTATGTAATTTTGTACTTTTTCTATTCAGGCCCACGTCTCGATACAGAAAAATTTAGATTTTCTTTGTATTAGAATTTTACTGGATGAGTATTAATTTACAATTCAATTTTGAGAAATATATCATAAATAGCGCCAAAGTTTTCGTGTACTTACATTGTTTTCCTAATATTTCAAATTTCATAATAAGGTGCCTCTCAATAATGAAAACGTCCATGACTGCGGAAAATTACGTATTTGGAATTTCCCGAGGTTTTGAGCAGCCCCAACTAGAGCTGAAACTCACGTTCTCGTGTTTGAACATGACGCCTGGACCAGCTATTCACATCAGGATGTCAGCTCTCAACCAGCCTTGGTACTCCTCTTGAACACCTCCCCTTTCACTCGTGAAAAGTCCTTGGTTACAGTAGAGACGGCCTTCAAAAATTGTTCTATGGTGCGTGCAACCATAAGATCCTCCTTTAGCGCCATCACCGCGTCCATCGCTTCTCAAGTGCTCAAGTTAAGGCCCTTTTATGGAGCACCAATTGCAGCCGATCCCGCAGCCACAAGACGTTCGCTATTATCAGACAGTTGAGATCTACACAATTTTTTATGAAAAAAGATTCTTTTGGAATAGATGGCTCAGGAATATCAATTGAATATACTGTAATTTTTTTGTATATTTAAATTTGGCATAAAAATGCAAGGAATTTAGTTGATTTTAGCCGAATGTCGATATAATGTATGTAACCATGTCCACACATAAATCTAGACAATAACCTTGTATTAAATAATATAAATTTAAAGTGCATTGCGCGATATTGACTTGTTTGTGAAAAATTATAATGTAATACCGAAAACATGCAATGACAATTTTTAAAAACAATGGCTGCATATAGATGTAACAGTTTGTTACAATTGGAAAAGAGATTATTAAAGTATTGCATAATGGCCTTCTTACAAACGGGTATAACAGGGAACCTATATAATCAATTAATTGATTCCAGCAAGAACAGTTATTGTTAAGATGAAAAAATTGAGATCCAAAAATGGAAACCAATAACTTAGTGCAAATTATGAATTTCACGTCATTATTAGCATTAGCCATTTTTCGTTATTAATACTTGTTTCTCGGGTTTTCAAAATTTAACAATGGTTAAAGTTCATGTCGTTAATTCAGGCTAAAGGTAATTTTTTCTTAATTTGATAAGGATTTCATGTCTGAGTACAATATCGAATTACAGGTGAATACAATATCCTGAACAACGGTATTAATCACAGCCTATTTTCCAAAATTCTATTAAAATAAAGTCTATTGGTTGTGGTTTTGTGATACTAGTACAGTGGTAATGAAATTAAATTGACTTGGGTGGGTAAAGAAGTCAATTTTTTATGATTACAACATTTTTTTAAATAGTAATGAATATTCGTCCTCGTTGGTATATAATTCTAACTACGACACTTATTAAACGCGGGAAACTTCAATAGTAACAAGTCCATGGATGCAGCGCAATGTAGATACACAATAAAATTATGTTTGAAAGTCTCCTGAAATTTATATCAATAATAAAAGCAGGCAGAATATTTGCAGAGTGGAAATCCATCAGCGTCAAAATAAATAGTTTCACGCTAGGAGCGAAATGTGCATTAGCAGAAAAAGAGCGAATTCACGAGTCGCTTGCAATAATGAATATCTGAATACCGTCCCGGAATGCAGGATGTGAAATTCTAAACGGAATTCGACGTTGATTCAATTCACAAATACGGTAGCCATTTCAATTCAAAATGGTTGCTACTGAAATAATCAGAAATGAAATGTTTCAAGTTACTCATGCTATGAAATGATGCTGATTGAATAATGTAAAGTATTTCAATAAATGCATTTCCTTCATCAATTTTATGTACACATAATGACAAACAGTAAAAGAAGAATACATTTTATCTATCGTAAAATACGAAAATTAATTATTTTTATATTTTGATGAGAAACTTTCGTCTCAGGAAGTCTTTTGATTTCGAATTCACTAACTCTCGATTAATTTAATAATATTTTATTAATTTAATTATGAAAATTAAGACTTTAATTCGCAAATATAGCAATCAAGGCTTATAATGCTGAGCGCAATAACTTTATTACACTTTTTTTCGTCTATTGCACTTAAATATTTAACAGGTAAAGCTTCCAATATTCCATGAACATGGCAAATCTCCTGTAACTTTTTTAAGTATAAATTCACCATGCTTGTATAGTGCGGAGCTCAGCGTTGTCTGATTATAGCTCTTCCTTGATAACAAGTTGATGGCTCAAGCGAAATGGCCGCTTAGGTTTCAGATAATAACTAAAGTTTGAACGCAACAGCTAGGAATTGGATGATCAGATCCGTCGAGAACGGCATCTCCTCGAATGGACCGTCGTTAGATTTGATGGCACGTTTCGGTTGACGTAAATTACACCTGGGCGGTCTCGCGAAACTTGATCTTGCTACTGAAACGGGGGTTCGATTCCAGCGATCTTCTAAAGAGCACCCGACGTCTGATCACTCATCGCTAACGTCGCTACAAATCACAAGGTCGAATATCAGCGAACTGGTCGAAACTTATTTGTTATTATAACACGGACCCTTCGGTTCTCAATCCTATAACATCCATTAAATTTCACCTTTGCATTACATGAAAAAGTTTTTTAAGGATATTATAAATAATGCATTTTTAACGAGGTTAATCGCCTTAGCAAACTTTGAGTGCGGCATTACTATATTTATTCAGGAGTGAATTTAAATTGGAAACACCCGTCCTCCACATTACCAAATGTTTATCAAATATTTATGAACGCTTCCATTAACTGCATTTTATTCAGCTTTAGTTTGAAAGTCACAGGGCAATCATTCAGTGGCGCAAGAGTCGTCGCAATTAAATAGCTTCAAAAAATCTTTCAATTTAATGTACTTTATATTATGACATTTTACCACACGTTCAGCTTGAAATAATAAGCTTGCAAAAAAGTTTCAAACTTCATAACGCTTTAAAACTTTGTCCTAGACTCTTCATAAATTAAAGAAGTTACCGAGCTGAAAATGTCACTTTAAAATAGTCATCGCTGGCTATTTTAAGATTTTAGCAAATCGATGGAAGATTCAGTATTTTGAAATTATTATTTTTGGTAAATTATTTCAAAGTAATTATTTCTCTCTTTCACTAATGAGGGACAAAATGAGTTGTGAACCATTGGCCACGCTTATTTTGTTCCTCATTGTCTTAATATTTCGATTGCTATAATATTTTTACTATTAATTTTGATCCGAAAGTGCAATTTAAATCCTTTTTTAACTGTTAATAATCAATCAGAGGTTTTCGTGACCAAAGATGTCCGGATATTGGATATTTTATTCATCAAGTATAAATGTTTATCAGTTCTGAGTGATGAGTTGATAGAATATTGACGTGTAAAAAGCCCTGCAGTCAATCATCCAGGGGAGAAGAG